CCCAAGAATTTTCTTTCCACACATCCTGCTTTGTACTAGGAAATGACACGAGGTCCATTTTACTACAAGTAAACTATTACAAAGTATTTACAAGAAAATGTTGTTACAGCCCTGCTTCAGGACCCTCTCTGCACAAGAACAAGGCTAAACTTCAGGGCATCTCTGAAGCTATTTTTGTTGTTGGTCGTGGGGCTTGAACTTTGGGCCTGAGTGCTCTCCAAAAAACCACTAGAAAAAAAAACGCAAGTGGTGCTGTAGTTCAAGTGTTAGAGTGCTGGCCTTGAGCTGAAGAGCGCAGGGACAGTGCCCAAGCCCAGAGTTCAAGCTCCACAACCAAAAAAAAAAAAAAAAAAAGTTTCACAGACTTTTCTGCTCGGGCTGGCTTTGAACTGCATCCTCAGATCTCAGCCTTTTGAGTAGCTAGGATTACAGGTGTGAGCCACTGGCACCCAGCTTATGACTGTCAGTTCTATCTCCAAATCAATTTAAAAATCTATCTACTGCATTACAATACAGAATGGCTTATACTCTTACCCAACCTTCCCAATGTATTCAGGACCAATTTAATCCACCTCAAAAGATTTCTGAAGCTGGGTACCAGTGGTTCATACCTATAATCTCAGCTACTCAGGAGGCTGAGATCTAAGAATCACAGTTCAAAGCTAGTCTGGGCAGGAAAGTCAAAGAGACCCTTACATCCAATTAACCAAACACAAAACAAACAAACCCAGAAGTGGAACTGTGACTAAAGTGCCAGAGTACTAGCCTTGGGGATAGTGTCCACGCGCACGCGCACACACACACACACACACACACACACACACACAGCAACAACAAACAAAAAAGATTCCTAAAAGCTCCATAACTACTTTGTTTCCTAGGCTAAGTAGCCCAGGCCTCTTACACACACACACACACACACACACACACACACACACAGAGCGCTAAGTAGTCCAGGCCTCTTACACACACACACACACACACACACATACACACACACTAACAACAAACAAAAAAGATTCCTAAAAGCTCCATAACTACTTTGTTTCCTAGGCTAAGTAGTCCAGGCCTCTTCCAATTCGTGTTTTCACATCACTACAAGAACATTATTAAGAAGTGAACACTTGGGCTGGGAAGGTGGCTCAGTGGTAGAGTGCTTGCTTGCCTTCCATGCATGAGGCCCTGGTTGTGATTCCTCAGCAACATATAGCAGAAAAGCTGTAAGTGGTGCTGTGGCTCAAGTGGTAGAGTTCTAGCCTTGAGCTGAAGAGCTGAGGGACAGCACCCAGGCCCAGAGTTCAGGCCCCACGACCGACAAAAAACAAACAAAAAAACACTTAAACATTTAAAAAATGTTTAAATTATTTGCCATTAAAGTTCAAATGGATAAACTACTTGCTCTAGATATTCTGGCCAGACTATCCATTTCTCAAAGGCTCTAGTCTATCTCACCATTATAGCTTCACAGCACATTATATTACACTAAACAGAACAAGTTCTTCCATCACCTCATTTCTGTCACATCTACAGTTAAGGTTACATATACATAAAATACACATAGTTGAGATTAGCAAAGATAATGCTGGAAACAATTTCACATACTCTAGAAAAATACAGTGTATATGCAGACACACACAACACACACATATACATTCTTAACTCTATAGTCATTAAGATAAATTTAAAACTACTTTGCCAATTGGTCTAGGAATGTTGCTTAAAGGTAGAGAGCCTTCCTACTGATCAAAAAACAAAAAAACAAAAAAAAACACTGACAATAAAAAAAAACTACTTTGCCAAATTCCAATTCACCACTATTCTTACCACCCACCCCCTCAATCAAAGTTTACTATAGCACAATTTACAAGGTAATTTTATTTTGGAGACAGGATATTGTTATGTCAACTACGCTTGCTTTGAATCCTTGGGCTCAAATGATCCTTCTGCATCAGTCTCCCAAGTAGCTGGGACTATGTACATTATTGCACTCATCTTCCTAAGGTAAATGTAGACAGATTAAGATTTTTATAGTACTCCATTTTCCCACCATGAACACCCTGAGTCTCTTAATGCATCCTAACTTTAGTCTGCTTCTTTGGCAAGTTTATACATTTTTTTTTCTTTTTTTGCCGGTCATGAGGCCTGAACTCTGGGCCTGGGCGCTGTCCCTCAGCTCTTCAGCTCAAGGCTAGCACTCTACCACTTGAGCCACAGCGCCACTTCCAGTTTTTTTTTTTTGTTTGTTTTGTTTTTTCTGTTTATGTGATACTTGAGGAACTGAACTCAGGGCCTCATGTATGTAAGGCAAACAATCTATCAATGAGCCACCTTCTCAGCCCAAGATTTCTGATTATGAATAGTCCTAACTTTTTTTGGTGATAAATTGCTGTGATATTCTTAAAGTTTTATTGTTAGATAATAAAATATTATTAGATAATATACTGATTATCTACCTTCCCAAACTTTATGGAAAAATTTCTGAATTAGTGATATTGAATGCCCTAATTGTAGGAAATTTTCTACACATAATAACTTTGCTTCTCCTCTCACAATATTTATGATTCCATTTTCTTATCTAACTGCTACAGTTAAGACTTCCAAATTAATTTTGAAAAAAAATGGCTATTTTGTCATGTTAAATACCACATTATGAAACTGTAACCCCTCTGTACATCACTTGTATAATAACAATTGTTTTTAATTTTTAAATAAGAAACTCACATTGAGGGCTGGGAAGGTGGCTCAGTGGCAAAGCGCTTGCCTTGCATGCCTGAGGCCCTGGGTTCGATTCCTCAGCACCACATAAGCAAAAGAAAAAAGCCGGAAGTGGCGCTGTGGCTCAAGTGGTAGAATGCTAACCTTGAGATGAAGAGCTGAGGGACAGCGCCCAGGCCCAGAGTTCAGGCCCCACAACCGGACCCAAAGAAAAGAAACTCACATTGACTAATTAGTTTGCAATAAATATTTTATTTCATGGTAATAATCTATTATTCTATATTAATTTTAAAGAGGGGTAGGTGGTCGGTGGGAATAGTTAGGAGAGTAAGAAGTGAATATGAAATCATTAAATGGTTGATTTGTTAAATGTTGGTCACATATACTTTCTCATTTGATCCAAGGATAGAAATTTATTAACAGTTCAGGGATTATTAATGAAGCAGTGGCTGTGGAGTAGACTGCCTGGGCCTCATTTATTTATTTATTTTTGGGTACAGTCGTGGGGCCTGAACTCTGGGTCTGGGCACTGTCCCTCAGCTCTTCAGCTCAAGGCTAGCACTCTACCACTTGAGCCATAGCACCACTTCCAGCTTTTTTCTTTTTTGCTTATGTGGTGCTGAAGAATGGAACCCAGGGCCTCAGGCATGCAAGGCAAGCGCTCTACCACTGAGCCACCTTCCCAGCCCCTGGGCCTCATTTGTAAAGTGGGAACATTACTAGACATGCTGGCCTTTTATACAGGTTAAGGAAGAATAAGCAAGAAGGACTGATGCAAGGAGCATAGTAAGTGCTATACTAGAATTTGTGATTATCACTTTAAAATATTGCTACATTCCTGGGCTAAATCATACTTGATCATTGTGCACAGATCTTTCAATATATGTAACAATATCTGTAGCTAATAATTTAAGATAAAATATAAATACAATTATATCTTTAACGCTCTGAAAAATATTAGATTTAATTATTTTATTCTAAGAACTTAAAAAAAAAACTAATAAAGCCAGGCGCCGGTGGCTTATGCCGATAAGCCTAGCTACTCAGGAGGCTGACATCTAAAGATCATGGTTCAAATCCAGCCCAAGCAGGAATGTCTGTGAGACTTATCTCCAATTAACCACCAGAAAACCAGAAGCAGCACTATGGCTCAAGTGGTAGAGTACTTGCCTTGAGCTGAATTGTTGAGGGACAGAACTCAGGCCCAGCATTCAAGCCCCACAACCAACAACAACAAAAGACACAAAAAAATTAATAATATAAACAAAAATACCTCGGAAGAAATTAATTTTAGGCTTTGGTAATTGGGTTAGGTTATCTCATAAAATACATGAGAAATGTTCATTGATTTTCTTTGTGCTGAAGCAGAATATTACATAAATATAATCTAGTTCTTGAAAAATGTCAATTACTCAAACAAAATAAATATATGTAAATATTTATGTATGTACGTATATGCATTTACACACACACAAAACTATAATAAAGGAGGTATGAGGAAGTAATTTAAGAGCTAAATCCTACCACAGTAGGATAACGACATTTTACATTCAATAAGTAAAAAATAGTTTAAGGGGAGGGAGGTAGGGAGTGTGAATCTGGGGGTGAAATTGCTTGGAATACAGTATAAACATGTGGAGATGTAACAATAAAAACTCTCCCTGTATAACTAATATAAGCCAAGTGTTTAAAAGGAATAAGGAGGAATAAAGTCCTTTCCCCCCAAAAAAGAAACTAAAAAAATAGTAGTATAGATATATTACTTATAAACTCCTTCTCAGAAGAAATAAAAGAATTAAAAGTGCCTATCTTTGGGGAGCATATCTGGGAGTTAAGGAATGGTGTTTTTCAGTTATAAGTTTTTCATACTATATGACTTTTTAAAATGATGTACGTTTACTAATTTCATTAAAGATTATTTTGTACAAACACACATACACATATACTAGAAATTCTACAAAACTTGGATGGTGACAGATCGTTTCCATAGGTTGTGAGTGTCCTATGAGTTAATATATTCTGTAAAATTGAGATAATAATGGAATCTATTTCATCATATTTTGTGTTAGACAAATTAATGTAGTATATTCCCAGAACAGAACTTTTCTAACACTTGTTGCCACTGAGCACCTTCAGGTATGTGCAGCACCATGAGAAATGCTTTATACATATTACCACACATTGTGTCATGTACAGACAACAAACGGTTCTTGTGTGCAAAGTCCAAATGAGGCTGACTTTAAGCACAATGTGTGATCCCACTATTTTCTTTTAATAAAACTTACTTTTGCTTTAGAACTGTTCTTAGAGCATCTTTCTGTCCCACTGTGTACTGAGAAATAAAGATGTCATTTGCTGCAAAATCAAAACATAATATTTCAGATTCCTGAAAATAAACTATAATATGCTACTCCAAATTGTCAACTTTGTAAAGAGAATAACTAGGAATTCAGTATCCCTCAATTTTTAAAAAAGGCAAGGAAGAGCAGAGGATCACAGTTCAAAGGCAGCCCAGGCAAAAAAGTTCCTGTGATACTCTTCAATTAATCACCTAAAAACCTTACGTGGGTCTGTGGCTCAAGTGCTAGAGTGCTAGCCTTGAGCACAAAGAAGCTCAGGGACAGCCCCAAGGCCCTGAGTTGAAGCCTGACAACCAACAGAAAAAAAAAAAGGCAAGGAATAAATTACTAAAAGTACAGTCTTAGCCAACAAAAATATATACTCATAAACAGTAGAAATTAAATACAATTTTAAAAATCTTTTTTTTTTTTTGGTCATGGATCTTGAACTCTGGGCCTGGATGCTGTCCCTGAGCTCTTCAGCTCAAGGCTAGCACTCTACCACTTGAGCCACAGCACCACTTCTGGTTTTCTGGAGATAAGAGTCTTACAGGGGCTGGGAAGGTGGCTCAGTGGTAGAGTGCTTGCCTGCATGCATGAGGCCCTGGGTTCGATTCCTCAGCACCACTTAAGCAAAAAGAAAAAAGCCGAAAAAAAGCCCACGACTGGACCCTCCCCCGGCCCCCCCAAAAAAAGAGTCTTACAGACTTTCTTGCCCGGGCTGGCTTTGAACTGCAATCCTCAGATCTCAGCCTCCTGACTAGCTAGGATTACAGGCCTGAGCCTGTAAGTAAGCACCCGGCTTACTTTAAAAAATCTTGAGGTGCATTAGGGGCACATACCTATAATCTCAACATTTAGTAGGCTAGGATTGGGAGACCTAAAGTTCAAATTCAGCTTGGCTACGGAGTGAAACATTCTTTTAGACACTATCTTAAAAAAATAATAACGGAAACAAAACAAAATCTGACATTAGGTGCCAGTGGCTTGAGGCTGATATTTGAGGATCGATGTTAAGAACCAATCTAGTAGACAAATTCAAGAGACCTTTATCTCTAGCTAACCACCAAAAAGCCAGAACTGGAGACAAGTCTCAAGTGGTAAAGCACCAGACATGACAAAAAAAGCCAAGCTAGAAAGAGATGCCCTGAGTTCAAGCCCCAGTATTGGGCACACACACACATTAAAAAATAAAAAATAAAACCCTTACCAAACACTTTAGAAAAAAACATTTAAAATAAAAAAACACAAATTTCTTAAAAATTTGTGAATGAATAAAACTTTGGAGCTTGAACTCAGGGCCTAGGCACTGTCCTTGAGCTTTTTGGTGCTCAAGGCTAGCATCCTACCACTTTGAGCCACAATGACACTTTCTGTTTTTTGGTCGTTAACTGGAGAGAAGAGTCTCATGAATTTTCCTGTTCAGGCTGACTTCAAAACTCAATCCTCAGATCTTAGCCTTTTGAGTAGTTTAGGATTACAGGCATGAGCTGCCAGCACCTGGATGAATAAAACTTTTCAGTGGGACTTTTAAAATCTATTGAAAGAAAATCAAATCAAACAAATAAATGAATTTTATTCTTTTACCGTTTTGTCTGTTGTTCTCTTCTGTTTGATCCAAAGGTAGCCCATGCACCACAATATCTTTGGAAAAACCCTTTGGGATATGAAAGGAAAAAGAGAGAAACTACATAAGTATTTATGATTACAAGTACCATCAAATAAAAAAGAGAGAAACTACATAAGTATTTATGATTACAAGTACCATCAAATACCATTTGCTAGTCATGTGAATATAGTGTTCTGAGAGGTAGGGGTATGCTTTATATCTTTCATAACTAGACAATGCTTATTGCCTTGAAGCTACTCAAGGATTAGTTCAATGAGTACAGTGCAGTCAGACGAATGAATAAACAAGTAAACAAATATGATGCTGAAATTCAGACTCAAATCTCAGTTTGATACTTACTCTGCCTTAAGCGGAACAAATCATTTAGTACTCACTAATTCAGTTGTTTTACTTAAATGTGAAAATCTGACTCAAATGAAGTGGATAAGGATGGTCAATAAGTGTCATAACACTGCATGTTAATCATAGCATTCTTTGTTATTGAATTACTATGTGGTCTCAAAAGGTTTGTTTTTTTACTTTTGTCAGTTGTGGGGCTTGAACTCTGGGTCTAGGCACTGTCCCTCAGCTCTTCAGCTCAAGGCAAGTGACCTACCACTTGAGCCACAGCACTACTTCCGGTTTTCTAGTGGTTTATTGGAGATAAGAGTCTCACGGTCTTTCCTGCCCGGGCTGGCTTTGAACCGCAATCCTCAGATCTCAACCTCCTGAGTAGCTAGGATTATAGGCGTGAGCCACCAGCACCTGGGAAAAGGTTTCTTTTTATAGTAACACCTACTGGCAAACAGTTTTTACTCCTGTATACAATCTAGACTTCAACTTGAAGATTCTATTCATTGCTGACGCACTACAACTTTTATCATACTACAGTCGTTCAGTGTTGCTTGTTACTCTTTTTTTTTTGGTCAGTCGTGGTGTTTGAACTCTGGGCCTGGGCACTGTCCTGAGATCTTCAGCTCAAGGCGAGCACTCTACCATTTGAGCTACAGCACCACTTCTGGTTTTCTGGTGGTTTATTGGAGATAAGAGTTTCACAGACTTTCCTGCCAGGGCTGGCTCTGAACTGCAATCCTCAGATCTCAGCCTCCTGAGTAGCTAGCATTACAGGTGTGAGCCACCAGCGCCAGCCCTTTCTTTCTTTCCTTTTTTTTTTTTTTGGTCGGTCCTGGGGCTTGAACTCTGGGCCTGGATGCTGTCCCTCAGCTCTTCAGCGCAAAGCGAGCATTCTACCACTTGAGCCACAGGGCCACTTCTGGTTTTTCTGGTGGTTTATAGGAGATAAAAAGTCTTACAGACTTTTCTGCCCAGGCTGGCTTTGCACCATGATCCTCAGATCTCAGCCTCCTGAGTAGCTAGGATTACAGGCGTGAGCCATTAGCACCAGGCTGGTGAAAAAAAGAGTCATAAGAGAAATTTCAAGAGTGTCTATTGATGACAGGATGACAACTTTCTTTAAAAAAAAAAAAAGCCAGTCTGGGAATGTGGCTTAGTGATAAGAGTGCTTGCCTAACATGCATGAAACCCTGGGTTTGATTCCTCAATACCAAATAAAGAGAAAAAGCCAGAAGTGGTGTTGTGGCTCAAGTGGTAGAGTGCTAGCCTTGAGCAAAAGAGGCTCATAGACAGTGCCCAGGCCCTGAGTTCAAGCCCTAGGATTAGCAATAACAACAACAAAAGGCCAATGAGTTGGACACTAGTGGCTCACTTATGTAATCCTACCTACCAGGAGGCTGAGATCTGAGGATCATGGTTTGAAGCCAGTCTGGGCAGACAAATTCAAGATACTCTTCTGAGTAATTAACCAGCAAAAAGGCAGAGATATGGCTCAACTGATAAAGCTAAGGAAGAGCTCAAGGATTTGAGTTCAAGCCCCACTATGAAAACACACACACACACACACACACACACACACTAGCAAAATAGTTATATTTAATGCTGCCATCACTATTTAAGTCACAGTGGTAGTATCTAAAACATTTCTCTTTACATGCAGTATCTAAGCAAAATGAATAAACTTCTCACTTATTGATATATTGCTAATCAAACATACTTTCAGAATACCTTACTTGATAACACTGAAAATTTTAGCATGATTAACATGCTTCAAAATCCTTTTGCACCACTGAGGGCATGGTTCAAGGGGTAGAATAGCTGCATAGCAATCACAAGGGCCTGAAATAAACCCCAGTAATGAAAAAAATAAAACACATGAGTGAATAAATAATGTCTATGTTTTAAAAAATTACTTTGCTTACGTTTTCTGATCCAGTGGGATTTTCTAACAGATGCTGGTGATTTCTTTCAGAAGTTAAATCTGATGTACCTAAGAAAACATAGGAATAAATCTGAGTAGTCTTTAAAACTAGATTTTTTTGTATAGAACCTATATAGGTATAATTTAATAATTATATAAGCATGATTCCAAACTTCCATATTAATTTGAGATCCAAATTGGAAATCATCTGGCATGCAAAAGAAGTTGAGTAGGGGATGTGAAAGGGGTAAGTATAGACAATTAAAGGACATAAATAGGTTTTAAAATATTTCAGTTCCATGTGGACAAAGGGATTTATCAGAGACAAACTATAGATACGATGCAAAAGCCTGATTTAACATTTGCTATGATGTTGCTACTTTATCTCAAAAGAAGCAGCATTCTGAAGCATTTGTTGTTCTGTACATATATTCACTAATATGAACCTTACCATAACTAGTACAATTTACAGTAAAGTGGGTAAAGCATATGTTATCTTCATTTTCACTGAATTAAAGACAGGATAAGTAAATTGAAATATAGAAGTCATCAAATGACTTAAATAGTGCTTTTCAGTCATGCCAATCTAGATAGGACTATCCAAAAAGAAGGCAGATTGGGGCTCCAGTGGCTCACAACTGAAGAGGCTGAGATCTGAGGCTAGAAGTTTGAAGCCAGACTGAGCAGACAAATCCCAGAGACTCTTATCTCCAATTAACCAGCAAAAAGCCAGAAGCAGAGGTGTGGGTCAAAGGGTAGAGTGCCAATCTTGTGAAAAGGCCAAGCAAGAGCTTGAAGCACTGAGTACAAGCATCAATACTGGCATTATATACACACACAAAGACACACACACACACCACTTTAAACAACAAAAATAATTTGTTAAAAGCTCTGCTGGGTAAAATTAAACTCATAATACAAAGGTATCCATCATAGATGAAAACATAAAATAAAATGCAAAAAACATTCAAAGGAAAGTATAGTAGGAACTCTGAAAGCTTCATTCATTCTATCCATTCAAACATTTTGTAGACTGCCTGGTCATTTTTCCAGGGAAGAGGGCCACTTTTCACAAATCTGTATAAGAGACATGCTTGAAAACTTGATTATTAATAATCCTCAAAAAATTTTAAGGAAGGGAGGGAGGAAGATAGGAGTGAATTTAATATTTACAAAAGTGAAACTGAATGAGAAACTACAGAACATGGAATCACGTACCACATAAGGTTCTATTTAAGGTAGCCTCCATTCGAATGGGAAGATGTTTATTTGTAGTCAAGGCTGGAGGCACACGGGGCAACTCATCTTGCACCAAAGCTAAATGACCTCTCCGACTTGGAGAAACGACCTCACGAAGCTTCCGCGCCGGCATCTTAACCATTTTTTTCTTTTCTAAGCTACACTCAGAGCCTTTCATATTGTTGATACCCCAAGTAGTTGCACAGGTCCGAAAGGAAGACTTTCTTGCAGGTTCCTTAGGACAAAGTTTTCATCTCTTTGCGGCCCAACGGAGAAGAATGGAGGGATGGGGGGGCCAAATGATGAAGAATGCGCGGATTCCCAGTGATGAGGAGACACGGTCGTTACACTTATCTTTGTTTAAATGTCTACGGGAGTCCCCCCGGAATTTTACACCGTGCGAGTTCACCCAGGTTCAAGGCGGTTAGCGGCGCCTACTTTCCCCACCTGTTCCACGGAGCGTACGCACGGGCGACGGTGCCCAGAGAACCGACGTCGAAGCGAATCGTGCCGGGCGGCGGGCGCCAGCCAGCCCTGCGGGCGAGGCCGACGCCGGCGGGCCAAACCGAAAGCCGCGGCTTTTGTGTTTTTTAATATCCCACCCAAGCAGCAGAATCGGTTGTTGTTGTTGTTTTTTCCACCCACAAACCCTTACACACGCGCCCGGCTGCAAGGGTCGAACACCCAAGTCGGCTCCGCCGCGTCTCCAGGAAGTCCGGCCAAAGCGCCGTCGCCAGTTCGATTTGACAACAGCTTCAGTTGCCCGCGGTTCAACACCCACTGCTCCCCGCCGCCCCCCCCCTCGCCCCCAGCCCCACACGGCCCGCCCTTAGGGCGCAGCGCGCATGCGCGCCGAGAAAACCATACTTCCTGGCGCCCTTCTATCCCTCTCCGGGTGGAAACAAACTCGAGAGGTCAGAGACAATTAACTGTCAGTTGCTTTTTTTAAAGGCAGCGCATCACGCCCCAAGACTTAAAATATGGGATAAAATTCGAGAGCCCGTGGCGGACGTAAAATCACTCACATGACCGGTAAAACGACTTGTGTTTATTAAGGGCTATTTACACTGCGGTTCTCCGGACGGTTAGCGATCTGGAATTAAGTAAATGAGGCTTCCGACGGCGCCGACAGATTCGGCACGTCCCCCGACCGGAAGTGCAGACTGAAGGTCATTATCTCAACAGACGGTCGCAGAAGTTAACTCTGAAGGAAGTTTTAAACTTACTGGTAATGCTGGCTCCTCCTCCTCCCCTCGATTGTTGTCATGGTCTGACGAATCGGCGTCACGAGGTTTAAGCGCGGTTTGACATCACGGCGGCCACGTGTTC